GGGAAGGGTGTATGCCAGGGATGTGTCCTGTCTCCGTACCTTTTCAACCTGTATGCAGAACAGATTATCCAGGAGGCTGGGCTCTATGAGGAGAAATGCGGCCTCAAGATTGGTGAAAGATCTATTAACAATCTGCGTTATGCAGATGACACAACCCTGCTTGCTGAAACTGAGGAGGACCTCATGCACTTGCTGCAGAGGATCAAGGACTGCAGCCTTCAGTATGGACTGAGGCTCAATGTCAAAAAGACAAAGATTCTCACCACTGGACCAATTGGTAGCATCAGGATGCATGGTGAAGTGATTGAGATTGTTAACAACTTTAGTTTGCTTGGCTCCACAATCAACAGTCTTGGCACCAGCAGCCAGGAAATTAAAAGACGTATTGCGACGGGAAAGTCTGCTATTAGAGACCTCTCTAAAGTACTGAAGAGCAGTGGTGTCTCTCTGGAGACTAAGGTGCGTCTGATACAGGCCATGGTCTTTGCAATCACATGTTATGTGTCAGAGAGTTGGACAATGACTAGGGAGGATAGAAGGAGAATTTATGCCTTTGAGTTTTGGTGACGGAGAAGTGTATTGAATGTACCATGGACCGCCAAGAAAACAGATTCATCTTGGAGAGGGTGAAACTGGGCTGCTCCTTGGAGGCAGGGATTCTGAGGCTTTGCCTGACATACTTTTGTCATGTTGAAAGGAGAGACCGGTCCTTGAAGAAGGGCATCATGCTTGGGAGGGTGGAGGGCAAGCGCAGGAGAGCAAGTCCCTCTAGGAGATGGATTTATTCAGTGACTAGTGTAATCAGGATGAGAGTGTTGGAGACAATGAGATTGGCATGGGACAGAACAGAGTTTAGGGCTGTTGTTAGTTGCAAGCGACTCGACAGCACCTAACAACAGCAACAACAACATTGGTTTGTATACACAATTTGTATGCATTGTGTTTCATTTATATATTATATATTTCATGCATTCCTCTATTCACATTGTGTTTCATCGTGTTATTTCCATAAGGTGTGTTTTATAAAATTGATCACTATTTGTCCATGCCTAACATTACTCCATATTTTCAGGTCTCCACTGTATCCTTCCTAATTGCTGTTGTTGTAAGGTGCTATTGAGTCGACTATAACTCATAGTGACCCTTTGAACAACTAATGGGAACCTCACTCAGTTCTGCACCATCACAATGTCACCATCCCGTGTCAGTGCATCTTGTTGAGTTTCTTCCTCCTCTGACCTGTCACCCTTAGCAGCATGAATACTTGTGCCTATAAACCTTTCTACTCTTTTACTTATTGTAAATATAATGCCTACTGCTTATTTTAATGCACTAGAAAAACATAACATTTTCATTTTTTTTCTTGGCATTAAGACTTAAACATTTCCCAACATGTGTTAGTTTAGATTTTTTAAGAAACAGATGGCAAAATGGATTCATTAGAATTATTAAGGGAAGGCTTGTGAGAAAATATGGGAAAGGAGTCAAAGAAGACTGTGAGGATATTACACTGATGTGAAATCTGAGCCCAAGAGAAAGAGAGAGGGAAGAAAGTTTGAGGAGAAGCATGGCAGATCTCCATGCAACCTAAGGAATGTTTGGCAAGGTCATCAGGAAGTCCTTAAACCAAAGTCAGTCAGTCATCAAATCAGGTTCAGATCTCTAAGAATGGGTGATCTCACTTAGTGCTAAGAACAGTCTGTGGGAACCATGGTTGCGGGGAAGAGGCACCAGTTCTTGTCAGAATCCAGAATTCTTGTTAATGTTGTGTTATTATTAGGTACTGTTGAGTCAAGTACAACTGACTCATAGTGACCCTGTGAATAACAGATCTGAAACCTAAACTATCCTGTGCCATCATTATTTCTTACAGACTTGAGCTCATTGCAAACCAGTATCAAGTATCAGGTGAATCAGATTGAGGCCATGGTATTTTCAGTCACTTGCTATGAATCTGAGAGCTGGACAATGAGTAAGGATGACAGAAGAAGAGTTGATGCCTTTGAACTTGGAGAAGAGTATTGAAAACCCCACAGACTGCCAACAGAACAAACAGATATGTCTTGAAAAGTTGTAGCTGAAGGCTTCTTGGAGTCAAAATTGAGGAAGCCTCATCTTATATCCTTAAGACATGTTGCTAAGAGAGATTATTCCTTGAAGAAGTACATCATTCTTGGAAAGGTGGAAGAATGGTGAAGGAGAGAGAGATCTTCAACCAAATTAATACATTGACTGCAGCAAAGGTCTGGAGTGTGTCAAAGATTGTGAAGATGGCACAGGATAGGACAAGGTTCAGATCTGTTGTTCATAGGATTGTTATGAGTTGTACTCAACTTAATGACACCTAATGATAACAATGAGCCCCTTGCAGCAGTCACTGTGTCAATCCATGTCAATGAAAATCTTCCTCTCAAACATACCTGTTTGTTCTTTTGACAGTCCATGGATATTTAGTACTCTTTTTCAACACCACAGTTCAAAGGCATCAATTCTTTTTCTGTCATCCTTATTCATTGTTCAGCTCTCAGAGAGCTGAGGCAGATAGTCCATTAAAATTCTTATTGTTATGATCTACAAGAGAACTTTGGTGGCCTACTGTTAAGAATCTATATTGCCATCTCAAAAGCACATGGTTTAAATCCACCAGCTTCTCTGAAGGAAAAAGATGAGAAATCTCTTCCTATGCCATTTACTGTCTCTGACAACCTGTTGAAGGGTCAACTATGTGTTGGTTCCAACTCAACAACACACAGCAGCAACAATAGCAACATGGTCTATGAGACTCAGTCTCATGGCCATTATGCCATGGTATGAAAGAGGAAGTTCAGACTTCTCTGAAGGACTTGGCAAAAAATAAAGCCCCAGTAATTAATAGAATACCTATTGACATAGTTCAACAAACAGATGATGCCCTGGACATGCTCTTCAGGTTGTGTCAAGAAATCTGGAAGATAACTACCTGGCCAACTGACTGGAAGAGATCCATATTTAGTCCCATTCCAAAAAAAAAAAAAAAGGTGACCAAACAGAGTGTGCAAATTATTGAACAATATCTTTAGTATCACACAGAAGCAAAATCCTGCAAAAGATTACATAAAAATTTCTGGAACTATGCATTAACAGAGAACTACCAGAAATGCAAGCTGAGTTTAGAAGAGGTTGTGGCACTAGAGACATTATAGCCAATGTCAGATGGATCTTAGCAGAAAGGAAAGAGTACTACAAGAATGTCTATCTGTGTTTCATTGACTATGCAAAGGTGACACTGTCCGTTCACTAGCAATGAACAGCAACACCCTGATGGGGGTAAGCACGATGGAGACACACCACTCTGGGAGCAATTCAGATAGTTGATCTAGCTCAATTTTATTGGATGCTGCAGCACACTTATATACAAGTAAGTAAACAGGAAGACTGGATAGGGTGGGTTTACAGACATAGGACATGCAGATTGGATTGGAGAACCTCAGCCTCATGCGGACTACTTCCACCTCAACAGATGCAGCAGCCATCTTCCCAGGTGGCAAGCTTTCTCAAGCTGGTACAGCCAAACACAGGAGAGTTCTCTCTACCCCATAATAAAGGCTTGCACTTATCCGGAGCTAGGTGATCTGTCCAGGCCAGAGACCCTCCCTTCTTCCCTAACATTCTCCAACACAAAGGCATTTGACTGTGTGGATCACAACAAATTGTGGTTAACCTTGAGGAGAATAGGAATCCCAGAACACTTGATTGTGCTTGTGTAAAAGCTATACTTGGACCAGGAAGCAGTCCTCAGAACAAAGCAGAGAAACAATGCAAGGATGAAAAATCAGGAAAGGAGTGCATGAGGGATGTGTCCTGTCTCCATGACTGTTCAATTTATATTATATGTAGAATAAATCATTTGGGAGGCTGGGCTTTCTGTGGAGGAATATATCATCAGGATTGGAGGAAGACTCATAGAAAACCTACATTATGCAGATGACATAACTTTGCTTACCAAAACTGAGGAGAACTGGAAGTGCTTGCTGCAGGTTGATTGAAGCTCAACATCAAGAAGACAAAGATTCTCACCAATGGACCATTTGGGAGCTTCATGATAGATGGAGAAGAGATTAAGGTGGTTAACAATTACAGCTTTTTTGGCTCCAAAATCAACATTCTTGGTATGGGCAGCCAGAAAGCCAAAGGACGAATAGCACTGGGAAAATCTACTGTCAGGGCCCTCTCCAAAGTACTGAGAAGCAACGATGTCAGTCTAGAGACTAAGATGTGCCTGATCCAGGCCATAGTCACTGTAATTGTTATGCATCAGAGAGCCAGACGATGACTAAGGATGACAGAAGAAGAATTGATGCCTTCAATTGTGGTGCTGTAGAAGTCTTGAACATACCATGGACCACCAAGAAAAAAAATAGGTCTGTCCTGGAGAGGGTAAAACCAAGTTTCTCCTTGGAATCTAGGATTTTGAAGCTCTATCTCACATACATTGGGCACATAGTCAAGAGGGACTGGTCCTTAGAGAAGGACATCATGTTCAGAAGGATGGAGGGAAAATGTAGGAAAGGAAGATCCCGGATAAGATGGATTGATACAGTAACTGGGGCAATGGGAGTACGTATGTCAGAGTCAGTGAGACAGGCTCAGGATAGGGCAAGCTTCAGAGCTGTTGTACATAGGATCACTATGACTCACAGATGATGTGATGGCACATAACAACAACAACAATAACAACAACAAAAAATAGCTTCATAACCTTCCATCTGTAAAAGTCCCATGATTTCTTTTTCTATTTTGGATATATATACATGGATGCTGCTTTCAGGAAATACAATGATGTAGCTGAACAATGGACAATGAACTTTATGACAATGTAAGAATTTCAGTTGGATAAACTGGTTAGAACCACATTTTGGAGGATTTTTAATGTTAGTCTGAGATCTTTCCTATTTAATGTGTTTCATTGAGTTAAACTTGGAATGAAGTGGAATTGATATATCTAACCTTTTCCAATGCAGGAATGATATGGGCTGAATGCAAAGAAATCTGGACTCAAGGCCCCAAGGAATACTTATTTGAATTGTGGAACATGCTTGATTTTGGCATGTTAGCAATCTTTGCAGCATCTTTCATTGCAAGATTCATGGCATTTTGGCATGCTTCTAAAGCCCAGAGCATCATTGATGCAAATGACACTTTGAAGGACTTGACAAAAGTTACACTGGGAGACAATGTGAAGTACTATAATCTGGGTGAGTTTACAGTATACAAAGACTCTAAGTTAATAAAGAATTCAGAATTTCCTTATGCAGCAGATGTCAGTCATAATTTGATTACTGTCCAGCTTCATGGTCAGTTTCCAGCTTCTTTTAAGCATCTGTGTCTGAATAATAATGCTCTTTCCTTTGATTTCTCTACTGGATAGAAACTTCTCTTAATCACAAGAATCCTCTCTTTTATCTCTTGGATCAATACATTCCAATTATCTAGGATTTCCCCCTATCTTGTGTTTTAAAAAGAACTCATATTTGAGTACCATTTCCATTTAAGATGTAAAGACTATGTGAAAGCAAGACATTGTTGCCTTTCAGAGGACCTCTAATGAAAAACAACATTTCCTACCCTGACTTTGAACTAGTGGAGAAATTAGAAAGATAATGCAAAAGGTAAACCATCACCTAAGAGAAGTAAAATGTTTTGCCCAGTTATTCATGCTAATTAAGAATTAGAGCACTCTACCTCTCCAGGATGGGCATAACTAAGGGATGAAAATGAGTTCTGTCCTTAAGGAAAATCTCTTCTCAAAGAAACTTGGAATGAAGTTTCTAACAGCCTTTTCACAGGAGAATGACATGGCAGTCCACGCCCTACTTCCATAAGAATCTACAGTTCAAGTAACCTAAAGAGGCATTTCTAGTCTACCCTTGATTGTCACCATGAATTGCAGTTGACTTAACAGCACACTGTAGGGTAATATTTGTTTATTTTGTTAAAGGGTTTAGCTTTTAATTGAAAATTTTACAAAAGGAGTTTAGTAAAAAATGTCAAAACTCATGTCATCATCTGACTCTTTAGATTTTTCTTTCTTTGCTCTCTTTCTATTATCAGCTGGGGCAGCAGTTTAACTTTTTGTTTTTTAATATGTTGTAGTTGTTAAGTGTTGACCAGTCAAAACCAACTCACAGCTGATTAAGCGTGTAGAGGCTGTAAATTGCCTAGAAGGAGATTTCCCATCTATCTCCCATGAGAGCTTAAATTTCTCAAAGTTATCTATTTATAGTCAGCATTTCATTCAAAACAATATGAAAAAGGAAACTGCTTTTATTAGTTTCTTGTTATCCTTCTCTAACTCCATCTAACTCCATTACTCAGGAAGTAAGCAAATATAATTTATAATCCTATTTTTTTGCTCTATATCTTTCTTCATAATGGATTTTTTATTTCCTAACATAATCGTATCAGAATAATTATTTCATTTTATCATAAAAATAGAATTATTTTAATGACCAGTAATATTGCTTCTAGTATGTTTAAAAGCCACAAGTGATCCACATATTTAAAGAGCTACAGATAACCTAAGAACTAAAAATCACTTAGATTGCTTTTATCATTATTGTTCAAGATTGAATATTTCAAGCTACCATTTTTTAATTGTCAAATACTTTCTAAACACTACATGTAGGTTGTCTTATTTAATTATAGTATATAAGAGATCTTATTGGTATAGGTATGTATCACCTTGTTTTTAAGATGTTTTAAGTAGAGTTAAATAAGGTTAAATAATTTCCATTCATTCTTCTAATATGTACATATAAAATGAAATATGTCTACATATTTAGATGAGTCCACAGGCTGAGATCATAAATATTATGTTATGTTCTTATAGAAAATTGTTATCCAAACAAGAAAGTTATCTTCTCAATAAATTTAGAAGTTCAAGTGTGCCTGACACCTAAGAAACTCTTTCATAAAGAAACCTTCATTAAGAAACTTGATGGTAGTTGGAATTATATTTCTGACCCAGAAGAAATTTACCTGACTAAAAATAACTTACGGAAACTCACCAAAACTTTTTTTTTTGTTTCTTTTTTTTCCTAGCCAGGATAAAGTGGGACCCCTCTGATCCTCAAATTATATCTGAAGGTCTTTATGCAATTGCTGTGGTTTTAAGTTTCTCCAGGATAGCTTATATTTTACCAGCAAATGAAAGCTTTGGGCCTCTACAAATATCACTTGGAAGAACAGTGAAAGACATCTTCAAGTTCATGGTGATATTTATCATGGTGTTTGTGGCCTTTATGATTGGAATGTTCAATCTCTACTCCTACTACCGTGGTGCAAAGCAAAATGAAGCCTTCACAACGTATGTGCCCTCATGAAAGTGATAGCAGATTAAATGCAAGTTAAATAAGTCATAGCTTTAATTATAATTATAATGTTCACATATGTCCATGGATAAATAATTGTTTGATAAAGACTTCATCTCTAGGTTTGGTGGGGTTTTTGGTCCAGAAAATTTAGATGATTTAAAAATCATTCAAAAGAGCTAAAAGTGCCAATTTTTTTGTTTGTTTTATGCTATGATAGATACTTCACAGGTATCATTTTCTTATTTCCATTTCACAAAGAGAGCAGGCTGCAATTCAGAAAAGTTAGTTAATTTGATAAATGTTGGCTAGCTAATTTGTGGGAGAGTGAGGGCTTAAAAACTTATCTAGTGATTGTAGCTCCTATAACTCTGGCTGTAGCTCTTACCTTGAGTCATGTCAGCTTCTTGTGCAATAACAGTATGGCCAGTATCAGGACAGTTGTGTCTGACCTCTACTAACTTTACAAAGGGAAGCAGCCCCCATCCACAACACAAAACCGGTTCCTATGAGGTCAGAGATGCTCCCATACTCCTTCACCTATTTCTATCACTTCTAACTCTGAGGCTTTCAGTGCTCTGCTTATGGGACCTCTAACACATTGCAATGTCCACACAGAACTTATAGACAGTACTTAACAATTATGGAACTTGTTAGGGAAGGTAACAGGTCACAACACAAGAAGGAAATAGGATGCAATTCTTCAGTTAGGACAAATCAAGTTGTGCCTGACAATCCTTTGACCTGCAGGATTAAAACTCTTGAACCTATTGCTATCAAGTCCATGCTGACTCGTCACTAACCCTCCACGTGGCTTGTGAGGCTGTAAAATTGCATGGGAAGAGATTGACCATCTTTCTTCTGAGGAACGAAGTGTAGCTTTGAACTGCTAGAAAAGTGAAGCCTTTGTGTTTGCAGTGAAACTATATACACTGTGCCACCCACACCCCCTAAAGTGCTCTTGTCGTTGTTGTTGTTATGTGCCATCGAGTCACTTGCGACTCATAGCGACCCTATGTACAACAGCCCTAAACTCCGCTCTGTCCTGTGCCAATCACACTGTCTCTGACACTCCCATCCCAATTATCCCAGTCACTGAATCAATCCACCTCATAGAGGGCCTTCCTCCTCCTGCGCTGTCCCTCCACCCTCCCAAGCATGATGCCCCTCTCTAAGGACCGGTCTCTCCTCACAACATGTCCAAAGTATGTTAGACGGAGCCTCAGAATCCTTGCCTCCGAGGAGCCACCGGTTTAACCCTTTCCAGGGTACAGGCGTCCGACTAGCTGAAAGCTGGGTAGCTTAGAGGCCAGTCTCAGACCCCTCCCATCTTCCCAGGTAATCGAAGATGCAAAAACCGCGCGCAACATTCGTTCCCGCCCTCGGGCCCAGAAAAGCCTATCTACACATCAGTTCTACAGGATGCATCACCTTTGCTCGGGAAACATTACGACTAAACTTCAGAGACATTGATCCCAACATATTGAACTACCATCAGCTGATGTGTTTGGAATCACAGAAGCCATGGACGCTTCATATATAAGTTATTAGATGGAGGGCTGGTCAAAGGGAGATAGATGTGAAGGGAGAGGGTAGAAGTGGATGGGTATCCTGGTGGATGGTGGAGCAGGGAAATAAGTGGGTAAAGACGCGTGTGAGAAAGGCAGGGACAACACCGACACTAAAGTTAACTCCACAATAAGGGATATACGTTTAACTTGCTGGTCTGTCTGGCGCTTCTCTAAATCTGAACATTCACATTAAGACAGACTAGGAAGAAGGAATGGCCATCCACTTCTGAAATAGCAGGCCTCTGAAAACCCTATGTATGTACAAAGTGCTCTTAGTCCCACCAATTATGGTGTCACCTCCAGTCCTCCAACAAGCTTAGGCAAAGGCGGCTGGCTTTGGTTCTGGCTCAGTTAGCAATGTGAGGCAGCAGTCCTAGTTCAACAGTCTCTCCCGTCAGTCTCTGGTTCTCTGATGCTGCTGCTGTTCTCATGTAGGACCCAGTCAGACTCTACAGGAACCTCTGGTCTAGAAGAATGCACACTGGACTCTCCACTCTTTCTTGCTGGTAGCTAGATTACCATTTTCTGCCTCTAAACCTGCTCAATTTAAACTCTGACCCAATGACAATACCAACCAGTCCCCTCATTGCCAATCAACACACCCTATTTGCATGTACCCAAACAAAAGGAGCAATTCACATCATTCTTTTCTTTTTCATTATTATTAATTTTTTTCGGTTTTTTATTATTTTTTTTTATACAGAGGTTTTGGATTTCCATTCATTCATTGCCGCAATTTTTTCCCTGCCCACCTCTCCCCACCAGCTCGCTTCCCCCTCCAAAGAGAGAGAAAAAAAAAATTCCTTCATTAGTATACAATCCCCACGTCCCTTCCCCCCACCCCCCACCCCGAGTACACTTCTCTATGCAGCCTTAATTCTGAATTCCTGTGCTGGATAAATTATGTATATTGTATTGAAACAGATGAGGGAAAGACCAGATTAGAAGTGATATATGATTGAGTATTATGGTTAGCACAGGAATTCATTATTATTAATTTTAATAGACATTTACAGAGGTTTTGGATTTCCATTCATTCATTGCCACACTTTTCTCCCTGCCCAACCCTCCCCACCAGCTCGCTTCCCCCTCCGAAGAGAAAATAAAATTCCTTCATTAGTATACAATTCCCATGTCCCTTCCCCCGCACCCCCCACCCCGAGTACACTTCTCTATGCAACCTTAATTCTGGACTCCTGTGCCAACCGCAATACTCAATCATATATCACTTCCAATCTGTTCTTTCCCTCATCTGTTTCAACACAACATACACAATTTATCCAGTTTTTTCTGTCATACCCCCACCCTGATGTCAGACCCATTCTACAACAGTGGCACCATGCAATATTTGTCTCTTTGTGACTGAGATATTTCACTCAGCATAATGTCCTCCAGGGTCACCCACTTTGAATAATATTGCATGAGTTCCTTGGTTTTTAATGCTGCGTAGTATTCCATTGTGTGGATATACCACAGCTTCTCTACCCATTTATTTGTTGATGTTCCCTTAGGCTGCTTCCAACTCTTTGCTATTGTAAACAAAGCTGCAATAAACATTAGTGTGCATATATCTGCTTGGATGGCAGACATGGTCTCTCTGAGGTATATATTCCCAGTAATGGGATTGCTGGGTCAAATGGTATCTCTATTTGCAATTTTTTGAGAAAGCGCCACACCGCCTTCCACAATGGTTGCACCATCTTACATTCCCACCAACAGTGAATAAGAGTTCCAGTTTCTCCACATCCTTGCCAGCATTTGTTGCTTGCTGTTCTATTTTGCTATTCTTACTGGGGTGAGATGTTATCTCATAGTTGTTTTGATTTGCATCTCTCTTAGGGCTAGGGACTTTGAACATTTCTTCATGTGCCTGTTGGCCATCTGAATGTCTTCTTCAGTGAAGTGTCTGTTCATATCCTGTGCCCACTTTTCTAATGGATTGTTTACCTTTATCTTATTGTGGTGTTCAAGTATTTTATAAATTCCGGATATAAGTCCCTTATCTGACATGTCATTACCAAATATTTTTTCCCCGGTCTGTGGCTTCCCTTTTTACTCTATTGGAGAAGTTTTTGGATGTGCATAGGGATTTGATTCTTAGAAGGTCCCATTCATCTATTTTATCTTCTCCCGGTTGTAGATTTTCCAGGATACTTGGAAGACTTTTTATGTTGTGGATTAGGACCACTAAAGTTCTTCCAAGTTTTTCTTGAATGAAGTTTATAGTCCTTGGTTTTAGTCCTAAGTCCATGATCCACCTTGAGTTGGTTTTTGTATATGGAGTGAGGTGTGGATCTTGTTTGAGTCTTCTGCATACAGCTTCCCAATTTTGCCAGCACCATTTGTTAAAAAGGCTGTCATTTCCCCACCTAACTGATTTCATCTCCTTGTCAAAAATCAGTTGACCATAGGTGGATGGGCTGATTTCTGGATTCTCAATTCAATTCACATCATTCTTATAGTTAGCATAGTCCTCCCCCACTCCCACTTCAGTCATATAGTAGAGGTCAAAGTCAATTGACTAGGAAAACCATTTTGAAAAATCAATCGACTACATCATACACATAAACACTGCGTATGAGAACAGCTACCTTTCTTATTATCTTCTGTTGAATTCTACCACTGGAAAAAGTCAAGTTCTCTACGGTGACATGAATTTTTATTTAAGTTCTCCATGGTATATTACCTTTTTTTGAAGTATGCTTGAAATAGATTGTTTAAAAAAATATGTCTTCAGCATCACAATGAAAAGTATCCACTGAAGCATAACCTCTTGTTTCTCATGTTCCACTAAAAATTCAGTTTGTTAGAGAAATGAAGTCACCTGAGTTAAAAGAATATAGGCTAACACTCATCAAAAATTTTGCCCAGAACATTGAAATTACCGAAGACACATCAATGATTTGGGTTACTTTTCTGTTTTAATAGTATCTCTTTTTTCCTACTTAAGACATAGGCTGTTTTAATATAGTTATTAGACATGAGTGGAAGTATAAATGAGAGGCTACAGAGATGAAGCTTAGACACCTCTCTTGAAAGGTCACAGACTTGAAACCCTATCAGCAATTTTAATCTTGCACATATGAGTCAGAATCAACTTGATAGTAATTAACAGCAATAATTAGGGGAAATAAAAGGGACTTTATAGGGGCTTATTAGTAAGAATTTGCACTGACAACCTAAATGTTTCTGGTTCCAATCCATCAGCTGCTCCATGAGAGAAAGATGGGCAATCTCTTCCTGTGTACCTCTGAAACCTTGCTGAATGGTCAGCTGTGAAACAGTTCCAAATTGACAGTCCTCAAAAACAACAAGAACTAATTGTAGTGTTTTTATTAAGTAATACATTTGATTAGGGAGTTCTGTGGCCTAATGCTGCAACACCGAAGGCACACAGTTGCTCCATGGGAGAAAAAAGGGCCGTCTCCTCCGGAACTGCCTATAAAAACCCACCAGAGGTTCAGCTATGAGTCGCTTCCAACTCAACGGTACACAGCAACAACCACCTTGCCAAAAGTATAGTTTATGTAAATATCAATATCTCTGGTAATGCATCATGGTTCTAGCATTTATTGAGTGCTTATTATATGCCTTATGTTGAGATTTTTGCTTCATATGCACATATCCTTATAACAATCCATAAAAAAAGAATGATTACTCAGTGTATGCCTATTAATTAACAAGGACCCTAAATAAGCTCAATTTTATTATAGTAATGTTTACATTCATTTATACTTCTTATTTCCTTTGTTTTCTTTTTCTCCAGAGTTGAGGAGAGTTTTAAGACACTGTTCTGGGCGATATTTGGACTTTCTGAAGTGAAATCAGTGGTCATCAACTATAATCACAAATTTATTGAAAACATTGGTTATGTACTTTATGGAGTCTATAATGTTACAATGGTCATTGTTTTGCTAAATATGTTAATTGCAATGATCAACAGTTCTTTCCAGGAAATTGAGGTATAGTAACTAAATACACATCTCTGTACATTTTAAAATTATTTAAGGGATCAGCTCAACTATAGGATAAAAGAATGGGTGGACTTCTGTCCTTTGTTCTTTTTGTTTTGTGTATTTGTTTGATCAGAAAATTTTAAATCTCTACTTGCATATGCAAAGTTGATGAAGTGGGTCAGTAAGGTAGAAATATCTATTCAATTTTTAAAAAGAAAGAAAACTATAAATACAATGCCAGCATGAGTTTTTCATTTTATACAAAAAATTAGTCCTTAAAAGTTACACTCTTTTCCAAATCTGTTTAGACTCAAGCTCAGACTCATTGTTGTCAAGTCAGAACCAACTCTGAGAACTAACTTCTGAGACGGTAAAAAATACACAAGAGACGACTGCCCAGCTTTCTCCCTCAGAGCCACTGGTGGATTCGAACTGCTGGAAAAATTCCTTTTAGTTAATGATCAAAATTGGCCCTTCAAAAATTGGGAGTAATATTTTTAAGTTCTTATGCCAGAGATTTTGGCCTGTGTCTCGAATTCATTGATAAGTGACCTTTGCCAGATTAATAGAATAAGTTTGTACTGTATTTTTTTTTTAGATGTTAAAAAAAATACGTTTATATCTGTCTGAGTATTTACAACATAGTCAAGTTTTGAGAACTGTAGCCTGTAAATCTGAAAAAATTTTAGAGAGTTTCAGGGACATGTGTGTGAGAAGAACATTAGCAGAGTGATTGCTGCCTCCATTACTCCCATCTAGCTGCACAATGTCAGTAGCATCTTAAGTTATTCAGCTGACGCATGTCTTTGCTGACTTACTGTGTGTTTGTACAGGATGATGCGGACGTGGAGTGGAAATTTGCAAGGGCCAAACTCTGGTTTTCCTATTTTGAGGAAGGAAGAACATTACCTGTTCCCTTCAACCTGATGCCAAGTCCAAAGTCCCTGTTTTATCTCTTACTGAAGCTTAAACAATGGATTTCTGAACTATTTCAAGATCATAAAAAAGGTTTCCAGGAGGATGCAGAAATGAACAAGGTACTTGGTGAATTATATATACATTTTTAATACTTATTTTTTTATTTTTATTTCTTTTTTCTTTTGTTGCACATTTTCTTCCTCCTCCTCCAAGCCCATCCAAAAAGGCTTGTTCCAGATTATTGTCATAGTGAATTATATTTTTAAACACAGGACTGTGTATCCACTGTAACAATTGTGTCATATCCCTTTACAAATATAGTTTGCAATGATATATCTACCTATTCTCAGATGCCATCACTATTTCAGCATGATATCCTTGCTTGTATTTGTCAAACATGTATACATTGAAATTTTTTTATTTAATCTTTTTTTGATATTATTTTTGTTCTATTCTTGAACAAAAATCTGTGAAATAAAAAAAAATATTCTACAGGTATACTTGGGTTGGTACTGAAAAATATAGCTAGTCCAGGTCCCTTTGTTTGCTGTTTTCCTCACTTCACCTTCAATTTACACAGCAAGGTTAAGCATCAGTGCCTGGTTATGATTCAGAGGAACTCAGCAGATCCTTATGTAACTTTGAAATTTAAAGTATAATGTTCCTAAAATCTCCAGTATTGCTCACGTGCACAGAGACAAGACCAGGTTTGTCAGTCAGTAGTTCAAGAAAGATCAGGGACATTACCTCAAAGGAGTAACACATGAGACAATGCAATGTCAAGAAGCAATAAAAGGGGGTGTGTGTGTGGAGATGGTGCTTGATTGAGGGGGCGGGATTATCACAATATGCTCAGAATACAAGTGCAGTGCTGTGTGTGATAGGAGATTTAAAGAGCCCTGATGGTGCAGTGGTTAAATATTCAGTTATTAACTGAAAGGCTAGTGGTTCGAACCCACTTAGTGGCTCAGCAGAAGATGAATCTGACCATCTTCTCCCATAAAGTTTACAATCTACAGTATCCTATAGACTCTACTCTGCCACCTAGAGTCTTAGTCAAAATGGATTCAATAACACCTAACAACAACTCTATGCAAAAAACTCTGCTGGGAAGAACACTGCATCATGGAAGATCAGTGAGGTAACAGACGCTTCCAGAAAAGGAAGACCAGCATGAATTGGGTGTGAACATGGTGTCCTCTGAGGAGGAATTGAAGGAGCTGACAGTTGTATTTGAAGAAAGGAGATGGAAGAGAAACATGATATATTTTCTGCCTTTAAGTATGGGCATACACTTTAAATGGGATAAGAGACAGTGGGCGAAAATTACAAATATTTCTATTCTAGTTCTGTGTAAGAACATACTTACTACAAGATCTAACAAAATGGTGGACTGCCTTAAAAAAAAATAGCTCCACCATATAATCAGACACAATGCTGGGTGACAGACAAAGTTTTGGATTGTTCTAGCTCTAGTGGACTTAGTGATAAGGAATTGCACTGCCAGACAAAGGCAGACAGTTCCAATCTACCAGCTGCTCTGTGGGTGAAAGATGGCAATCTACTTCTGTGCGATTTACTGCCTCTGAAAACCTGCTGGAGGGTCAACGATGAGTTGGTTCTGACTTGACGATAACTAAGAACAACAGCATTAGATGGACAGGTGAGCTTAATGATTGTAAAAGATTTGCAGTTCTAAGATTGTCCTTTGTTCAGTGGTACATGCAGTAGATAGATTTTGGAGTCAATTTGATACACCTAACAATAATATCATAAAAATAAAAGAGAAATGTGTTTTAGATCTGGCTGCTTTTCATTTATTACTTAGGAACCTAAAGTAAATAATTGACACTTAGATCCTTGATTTCCTTAACTGCCCTATGAGAATAGCATTTATACATGCATCTTAAAGACCGAGTAAATATCTAAAAATTCTTTGAGAATTCCAAAAGTCTTCTTTAGTCATGCTATTATTGTTGTTATATATTTTCAGATAGGAACCAGCTCATCCTCCAGTTATCAGAAACAGTAAATCACATGGGAAGAGACCACCCATCTTTCTCCCATGGAGCAGATTTGAAGAGCTTGCCTTTGGGTTGAAAATATAATTCCTTAGCACTAAGCCTCCAGCACTCAATTCTTTAAGTATAACTTTTAGTATCATTATTTTATGTAGGAATTTTTGAAAAATAGCCTACCCACAAATTTATTCTAAATAAGTCATTTTAGAACTCAGTTAATTGAGTGGTGGAGCTTTCTTCCTTTCAGTTGCTGTAACTCGATGTGTAGTATAGAGGTCCAATTAGCATTATCACCTGAGAGCACTTACCGTGCAGCAGAAATCCCCAAGAGCTTGCCAAAGGTGCAGAAAATGCTTCCTTCATGAAAACTTACTGGGGAATGTGGAAGGAAAAGAGAGAGAAATTTGTTTTGCAATTAAGAATGACTGTGCAATCGTATTCATTTTGCTCTCTCTTCAAAAGAGAAATGAAGAGAAGAAATTTGGAATTTTAGGAAGTCATGAAGATCTCCCAAAATTGTCACTTGACAAAAAACAGGTAAGATAAGATTTGAAAATATGAGGTAATGCATGCCACCAGGCTTATCTCTTTAGAGCAAGGCATGAATGTTCAGGAGTAATTTAAAGAACTAGATAATGGGCCCATTAAAGGACTTCACGATTTTAACAACTTAAAGATCTGAGAATCTATTACTAAAAGAAAAAAAAGGAGGCAGCCTCCTCCAGTCAAGGTTTACAGGCTCAAAAACACCATAGAAGAGTTGCTATGTTTTAGGCAATTCCAGCTGGAAGGCAGTGAGTATGGTTTGATGGAACATAACACAACTGAGGCAAAGAAGAAAAAGTAAAGAAGACTCATCAGAGAAGGTTTGATGAAAGGTTTGATTTAACCCGACTGTGCAACTATTGTTGGTTGTGGTGTGTGTTGTCAAAACCAACTCCTTGCTCACCCTCCTCAACTGCAGAGAAGGAGATTCCCATCTTGCTTCTGTGCAGTAGCTGGTGGATTCAAACCATGTGCCTTTAAGTTGGAAGAACAATTCTTTACCACTAAGCCCTCAACATCCAAAACGGATGTCCTAGGCAAGAAGAGCTGCAGTGGGACATAGCACTGTGTCGTACCTGTGAGTGGCTTCTGTGAGGCCTGATGAAGTCTTCGTTCTGGCCCAGCAATGTGGTGGTAGAGGCTTAGGATCAAATAGCTGGTAGGCATGAGGAAAAGAATCCCTGTTTTCCAAGGCAGCCATGCAAGAGTTGTTGATGACAGACTGAATCTGCCACTCAGGAAAGTTTTATTTGGCTAGCTCAGTACTTTTTAAAAAAATGTAATGCCTTTATAGGAATCTACACTCTCTGGTTCACCAAAGGATCTGCTATTTCCTATTTTCTTAACCATGTTCAAAGTACTTGCAAGCTTTCAGAAAATATTTGGATTTGTGATTCATACTACGTGGTAAATTTATATTGCATTTGACAATGGTGTGGATATGGGGAATTTATGAAACAAACAGTAACACATCCAATAGAGCTACAAGCACATTCTACTCTAGAGGATAGGAGAGTGCAAACACTAGTGCAGGGCCTTCCAAACTACCATCCAGTGACAATCGGTCACTGTTTACTTATGGCCTGAGACCGTAAAAGTATTTTCTGTTGTCAATTCTTTTTTTTATTTTAATTTTTTTTTTCATTCACACAGTTTGCCCTTGCCTAGGAAGGAAGCTCTAGTGACCTAGTAGACCACAGGGTCTTTTGCAGCTAACTAAAAGGCTCCCTCTGGTGATTCAGATCCACCAGCTGCAGGATAAATAGGAGCAGTCTGTTCCCGGTGTGATTTACAGCCTCAGGAGCGCAGTGGAGGTTCTTCTGTGAGCTGAAATTTTCTAGATTGTGTTGAGTTTGAATTTGACTTTTGACTCACCTAAGACTGTTATTTGACCCAACAAGAAAGCTACAGGAGAAGGATCTTGTAATTTGCTTCTGTAAATGTTATAGCCAAGAAAATGCTGTGGGGCTTAGATGTATTGTACAACACATGGGGTCAGGTGTCATGAGTCAAAATGAATAGCGATGAATTCGGTTTAAAGAATGAAAAAGAAAAAAAAAGAAAAAGACAATGTATACAAATTTTGTATGCAAAACAGTATAAAATAAAAAAGAATGGAAAGGGGAAAAAATGAAATATGTAGCAGAGACCATGTGGTTTGCAAAGCCTTAAGTATCTGGCTGATTCTTAATAGAAAAGACCACCTTATCTAGTGCATCATTAATAGAAGACTTGGGAAATCCAAGAAAAACCAAATTCAAAGCTTTTAGAAATAATTGTTATCAATATGTAATGTGTGTCTCCTTTGGGCCTTACATAAAATGCTGTCTCATTATGACTTTTCCCATTTGTGAAATATGGACAAGAAGAATTGTAACAAAGTAGGGATTATTAGGGAGATCTAGCAGCTTAGTGGTAAGGAGTTGTGCTGTCAATTCAATGGCATGCGATTTGAATCCACAGCTGTTCCATGAGAGAAATATGGGCAATCTCCTCTTGTGCAATTTATGACCTCTGAAAACCCACTAGAGTGAAAACCCAATCTGATCCACTATAAGTGGATCTGATCAGCTATAAGCCGGTTCTAATTCAGTGGTACACAACAACAATATTGTAATTACTGGGGCACTGGTGGCAGTGTCCTCATGTGATTTATGATTGTGAAAGCATAGCTGTAAGTTAGTTCTCATTCCATCGCAATGAGTAGGAGAGAGAGAAAGAGATTGTAATTACTAGAGAGTAAAAGAGTGAATATAACCACACACAATTTGATAGTGATGTTAATCCAGTGAAAGTAGAGAAACAATACTAGGTCCAAAAGTCTGAGAGAGGATACAAATAATAAATGAACAAATGGAGAGAAAAAAAATGAGTACAAGAAACAATATAATAATAATATAAAATGTTGTTGAGTTCATAGGGTTACTATAAGTTGTACTTAACACAAGCTAAATGACTAATGAATGTGTGAACTTCTAGAAATAAGAGCCAATGTCTAATGACCTTTTGGAAGCAGATCACTAGGCCTTGCTTCTGACGTGTTCCTGTCTGGATTTAAATTAGCAGTCATTCAGCTACTAGTCCAGTATTGACCATTTGTGGCATCCAAGAACTCTGTGTCACTACTGCTTCTGTGTCTGTGGGATGAAGAAAGCATGAGAACAAGGGATAAAGAAAAGTCACAAGCAAAGAAAAGTGGAGGAAATGTGACTAGCTTTTATCGAAAGAGTATTTCTCTCAAAAGGTTTTAGAATTTGGTAGGTTATTTTGACAAATTTGTTTTATCTGAGTTAAATTATTCATAATGTTCATTATAGGAAAACTGGAGCAAGATGAAATGATTTCATGATCTTCAGATTTTCCAGCTAAGTGGATATAGTCACAATTGAATCCAGCTCTCCCTGGTGGCACATTATTTGGCCTCAGTCATTTGTGCAATGTGTTCCAATCACATACAATTAAAACAAATCACTATTGCATTGATTCTGACTCAGAGACAGTCAGTCTTTGCGTCAGAGCAGAGTTGGGTTCATAATGTTTTCAGTGGCTGGTTTTTCACAAGTACAGCACTAAGATTTTCTCCCGAGGAATTATCTCTGGATATATTTCAAGCTTTCACATAGTATCTGATTGTATTAACAATAACACCCAAGGACTCTTGTTTATATATTTAAAATAATATACTAAGGGATAAAAAAGAATGACAAGAATAAAGAAATACGTTAACAGTGGCCATGTGGTTCACAAAGCCTAAAGTATCTGGCTGTCTCTTCATGGAAAAGACCACTTATCTAGTGCATCACTAATAGAAGACCTGGGAAATCCAAGAAAAACACAATCCCAGATCTTTTAGAAGCAATTTGTATCAATATTTAATGTATGTCTCCTTTGGGCCCTACATAAAATGCTATCTCACTATGACCCTGTCAGTGACATCATCCATATTGCAAGTTTTACTATGCATACTATGTACTTTACACATTGCAGTGCTTTTAAGGGGAAAAAGGGTGTAGAGATAGTAATATTATTACTGTATCTTAATAAGCATACAAATTTATTAAACAATAAAACACAATTATACCGCGAGAGTTTTTTTTCAATAATTAGTAATATGCTCAACTATATTTTCTTACAAATAAGAAGCTATTAATCTCAAGAATGACAATCACCCTATAGAAAGCCTAAATACTCATAATATCACAGATATCCTGGGGTGGGTGTAAAAAAACCAGCTGATTCTTAATTGAATAATTGAAAGGGATGGACTCTCCCTTTTTCTGCATGTTTCCTATTTGTGATCTACCAATTATCTGACAACAGAAAACTTTTTCTAATTTTTCAAAGGAGTATAATACATGAATATATTAAACATATTTGGTCAATATTTACTGCTGGAAGCAGTGAACTCAGATAATTGTGAGTTGATCTTATCTCTACTTTTTTGGAAATTAATTGAATTCTCTGAACCTCCGTTTCCTCATCTATGAAATAGCCATTGTCCCTGAGGCAATTCTAATTTATAGCAACACCATAGGACATAGTAGAACTACCTCACAAGGTAAATTTTCAAAGCTGTAAATCTTTATGGAAGCAGGACCACCTACTTTTCACTGAAGTCAAAGGTTTAGCTGTTATTAAGGGATGAAAATCTCAAAAATAGCCATAACTACCACCAGTCTGTTTTGTGTTTTATTGACTATGCAAAGACCATTTCACTCTGTGGATAATATTAAACTATGGCTAAAACTGAGAAGAATGGGAATACCAGAACACATAATTGTGCTTGGGAGAAATCTATACCTAAATAAAAAAAAAAAAAAAAAACACTTTCGTGCAAACTAAGCAAGGCTTAAACTCCACGGCTTGAAATCAGGAAGGGTATGCATCAGGGTTGAGTCATCCTTTGTCCATACTTATGCAGTGTGTATGTTTAGCAAATCATGAAACTGGACTCCATGAAGGAGAAAGTTACATCAGGATCAGAGGAAGACTAATCAACAACCTGTGTTATGCAGATGATACAACCTTGCTTGCTGAAAGTGAGTAGAATATGAAATGCTTGCTGCAGAAGATCAAGGACTACAGCCTTCAATATGGATTACATCTCAACACCAAGAAAACAAGGGCTTTAGCATAGTATCAACAGTCAAAATTATGATAGATGGGGAAAGGAATGAAGCTGTTAGTGATTTCATCTTGCTTAGATCAACAATTGACACTGCTGGTACCAGCAGTCAAGAAACCAAAAGATGAGTTGCATTGGGAAACTGTCTGGGACTTTTCCACAATGATGAAGAGCAGTGATGTCAGGATGGAGACTAAAAATGGGTCTGATTTAGTCCAGGGGTTCTCGCTACATGTCAGAGAGCTGAACAATTAATAAGGATGACAGAAGAAGAATGAATGCCTTGGAGTTGTAGCGTACTGAATATCCCCAAGACTTCTAAAAGAACAAAAAGTGTTATACTTTAGAAAAAGTGCAGCCAGAGTGC